TATTGAACAGAGCTGGTCCCAAAACAGACCCCTGTGGAACCCCACTTGTTATACCTTTCCAGCAGGATTGTGAACCATTAATAACTACTCTCTGAGTACGGTTATCCAGCCAGTTATGCACCCACCTTATAGTAGCTCCATCTAAGTTGTATTTGCCTAGTTTATTGATAAGAATATCATGCGAGACCGAATCAAACGCCTTACTAAAGGCGTTTCGATTTGTATCATGTGATTCGATTTCCACTGTCCACGTAGGCATTTAGTCACAGCTTGTTTTGAGGGGCAGAGGGTCTCAGGGCTCTCAGCGGTAAATCTGATTTACTGCCTTGAAGCTTCTATTTGTAGTAGAAGTGGGAGCATGATCTAATGGCTACCATTTCTCTCTGTAAGCTGGGTGAGATTCAAATGCTGCCAGCTAGGTTTTGTTTCTACAGGTGGTTCACATTCTCACATGCCTCGGTGCACATAAAATGTTATTCCACCCATGAATGAAAAAAATCCACATATGGATGGAAAAGTTTAGAGGAAATATTGGTGGCTACACCATAAGATTATGAGTCAACAGGACAAGGTTCTGTTCCTGCTTCTATATTAACATGAACAAATTGCTTTGATAAAATTGTAATATCTGATATGATCTTTATCTGAGATCTTTATATTAAATGGATTTTGGAGCAGGGGGTCGGAACAGGAGCATGCTCCGTCCACTCCACGCATCGACTTGGTATTGCAGTACTTCCAGGAGCGGGAAAAAAAATTTAAAAACCAAATTGCTTTGCCTTGGTTTCCCCATCTGTGCAATTGGAATAATGATTCTTACCTGATGCTCAGTTGGATTGTAGGAAACATTCCATCAGGTTTCTAAAGTGTTTTGAGAGCCTTACTAGAAATAAGTGCTATAGAAATACAAAGCATAAATAGCAATTCTATTATGTATTGCTATCCAGCATTAGTATTCATGTTTCTAATAGGTTCTACTACTGCAACCAGGTCTTCCACTCAACAGGGCATGGGCTTCCTTTGGCAGGGCTAAGATTAGTGGCTGTGTGTACTGAACAGGTGAGTAAGCACAGTTGTGAGATTGAGCTGCTGCAGCAAGGCTGCATGAGAACAGAATAGGCAGGGAAAACATGACCCAAGACACAACAGCACCAAGTTCTGACAGGGCATTTTCTTATTTTTGAGTCAACTTCTCCTGAGTAATTCTTTCTATGGGTGCTAAGAATATCTGTTAACTGAGGACAGGAGGGATAGTAACAAGGATATAAAGCTGACTGCATGGGAATGTATGATTTGTTTGCACTGCCTCTTTGAAACCAGAAGGGATTATGGGAATTCCTAACATATATAAAAAAGCCTGGAAAGTCACCTAGCTTCATTTTGGCTCTTATAGTTCCTACCAGGTTAAAGACAATTTTTAGTTCAGTAGGGTTATGTCTACAAATCAAAGCTATTTCAAGATACCAGGGGTATCCTGAAATAGCTACCCTGCGTCTTGTGAACACATCTGCTATTCCAAAATATAGTGGATGCACTATTTCGGCATCCCAGTAACCCTTGTTCCATGAGGGCTAAGGGATGTCTCACAATAGCACTTTATTTTGAAATTTGGTGCTGTGTAGACAGCACCACATTTTGAAATAGTCTATTTCAAAATAAACTTGAAATAAGCTATGCAATTTGCATAGCACAAATTGCATATCTTATTTCGAGTTTACAGTGCAGTGTAGACATAGCTTAGATGCTAAAGTCTCAATAGCCATGTAAACCATCTTTCTTCCTCTGATATGTGCTTACCTGACTGCAATGCCTCAGATATTTATCAATGTAGGCTTTTGTTTTTAAGTTGTGTGAATGTTTTCTGTTAAATTAGCAAATTTTGCTCTGTCTGAATGATGATGGGGTTAAACACAGTCACTTGTCACAGATCTCTGTGGCTTTCAAATGTCTCTTACCCTTCCCCACACTCATCCCCTCATTATTCCCCCTGAAAAGTTGCTGCCACCATATTCCATAGCTAGCAGAAAGCAGAGTGTGCTTCTTCTCCCTTGCCTTTCTAGGTTTCCTCAAGGATCAACAGATTGCCTAGGGTGATCCAGAAAGGGTCTATCAGTGAAAAGCAAAATATGTGTAGGTCAGATGGGCTAAGCCATGCAGGTTGGTACTGAGTTCAACCCCTCTAGAGTAGGGATCGGACATGGTATGCTGGGCACAAGAGGCCAGATTCATAGTTGCTGCATGGCCATTTTATGTTAGCTAGGAAAGCCTTGAAACCCCACTGGGGAATTTCTGTGCCTTGCTATTCCTAGGAGTTGGAATCAAATGGTTTTTAACCTTATCCTTATCAGTGCTGGGATCTGTCCAGAGACAGGAAAGCAAGGAACAACAGTATATTCATGTATGTATGTCTGAGGAGTTGCTGCAGGGTGAGACCTGTCTGGGAAAAGCAACCAACAACCATTCTAAGCCTAATGGAAAATGATAAATAAGGGAGAGAAGAAAGCTGTTGTGGCTGGTGTCTGTGA